GTGATGAGTTTATATTCCTATGAGTTCATAGGTATATATATATATATATTCCAATGAATATAGATGATATAAATATATAAAAATATATACACCATGGAACACCTTCAAGTCAACAGGCTCACTTTCTCACCTCACATCTGTCCACTTCGGCAGGTTTAGGCAAGCTGCTTCAAATTCCAAGCTTGCTTGCCCTCTAAAAGAGGCCACTCAGACTCGGCCACCCACTATCAAACTAAGCGCTTAACTTCATCAAGGCTTCCCACATTTTACTTCTCGATTGACAAACTAGGCGGTGAAGCCTACTTCTCATTGGGACTCTTCAGTCTTGTCCATTGTCTGGACTCTTCAGCAAGGGCAGTCGAATCTCCATCAGCCAACGGGAGCTATTGTGGAGGTGCCGCCATGGCAATGTGGAATCTGATGGCGTGAAATCCACCTCCAAGGAAGAGACATTAAGAGATAGCTATTAGGACTACTGACTAAGGGTGACTACTGTGCTTAAAATATTTGGGAACTTAACCTCTACCAGAGTCTTACTATCGACCTCTGCAAGTTTTACTTGGAGAGGCCCCATGGCCGATCGAAGATTGCTTCACTCGGCAGCTGTGAGATGGAAATGCTCCTCCGCTTCCGAGCGGCGTCCTATCAAGCTGCGCAACAACGAGAGCCGAGCAATCTGGATTGAACCAACACCTGAAGAAGCTGCTCGGCAGGTACGGACTTCAGCCCCCAGCCCTCTAAAGAAAAAATGATCATTGGCCGTCCTCCACAGTAGCCAGCTCATGGTAAAAGCCATCTGCATCACGCTTGATGCGTTTGTGCCAGGGGCTGGACTCCTGAAAGGCTTTGCGCATCATTGCGTTCCCCAATGTGCGCAAAGCTCCTCATTCTGCACACCCTCGTCTGGGTCCAGGTGGGTTCAGAAGTTTGATAGGGGTACTGCGGCAATTCAGTGCTACGGTTGGTTTCCAACGGCACAGCAACTAAAATAGATGCGACCGAAGAAAAGAACCGTCGTGAAAAATATCCTTTAGCCGCTTTAGTTCACTGTCAAAGTATGGGCAACTCGACAAGAAACCTCATCTGTCTTCGAATGGTCTGGGTATTTGTTCATCTCTTGGCCAAGTGACGTCGGAGCTCAGGGCGCATCCCCGCTTGATGTTGCCCAGGATGCTCTTGGTGAAGCCTGGGGGGGTTGGGGGGGGCGGGGAGGCAAGCCATGCCCCTGACATGTCAGAAGGAACCAATCGAATTTCGGAAAAACCTTTCCTGCCAAAAAGGAACAGGTTTTCTGTTGACCAAATTGATCTCAAAGGTTCCTCAGCATGCTTCAATTCCAAGTCGCTGTTGGCTAAAAAGCGCAAGGCGCTGGATGGGATGGGGACGCCAACCTGTAAAGGCACAGTTCCAAGCATGCAAACAATTGCCGGCCTATCCCTCCGGTAATTCTCTGGGCAGCCTGGACGCGGCTCACTGAAACCACGATCGTCCCAGTTTTGCCACCGCCCACTGGAAGCCACAGATTCCTTGAAACTACAGTGCAAATAGATCAAACATGATCAAGCACTAACACGTTGTAACAACCGCAACCCCTTGGAAGTTTTTGCGGATCCAGTTTTAGCCAAGCTTCTTGGTGTCCACTTGAATTCGCTTGCTCAACAAGCGCCTTTTGGGGAGCTTGAGGCTGTTCTTGATGGGGAAATCACTCTTGGCAACCTCCACCTAGTCGCAAAAGCGATCAAATGCAAGGATACTCCATTGTGATTCATCCATTTTGATGATTCTCATGGGCGAAACATGTTAAACATGCACTTGTCACTTGCCCTCCAAGCGAGCTCTGTGTGAGTCGAGCTGCCAAAAAGCCGAACTCTTTGTTGGACACTCGCACGAGTTCAAAGACCGTCTCAATGTAGAATCCCAGGATCCGGGCCAAAGTTCGCACCACGCCGTGATGTGGTGTCGGTTTGATGAGATCCCGGTGAGGCTCCACGAAAACAGGCTGGTACTTCAGGATGAGCTCCCTCTCCTGCCTTGCTGCGATTGCCATGCTAGCTACATACCAGAAAAAAGCTGGGCCTTTAATTGAAGTGTCTCGCATCTAGTCTGCGTGCCAGTGCTGCTTTCTTTGCAGGCGATCCTCGAGCCTAGCCCTAATCAGGACACTTTTTGAAGCTTCCCATGTGCCTAGAGATGCTTAGACTAAGCATGATTCAGCCGAAGGCTCAAAGGGGCCATGCAATTCACAAGGTTCTGCTCGATCTGTGCAACGACCTGGCAGCAGCTGAAGCAAAGCTTCAAGCATCCACATGTAAAATCTAGCCAAAATGGAAACACGCATCCAAGGTTCGCTACTAGGAGCAAAGGGCATCGCTACTAGTAACAAGTGCCTTAAAAATTACTAGTAGTAACAAGAAGCTATATAATTTAATTAGAATCTATATAATTAAAATTACTAACAAAATGGAAAGCCATGAGATGTCACGCGCAAATTCTCCCATTCGCCACGAACACGCAGCTTTTGGCCTTGTATTCAAACCAGGTGGAGCCAGGTGGAGACCGAACAAAGAACTCAGCATCAGGCCGAGACCAAACACTATTGAACCTCGGGCGCGCAAAAAATTAGTCGACTGGAAATGATCGACGTTTGCTTGGACACACCTATACTTAGGCCTAGAAAAACGGCTTGGAATGAAGAATCTGGGAGAATTCAGGAAAGGCTCCTGGTTGGTTGCAGCGTCGCCCTTGCAGAATCAAAGAGCTCAGAATACCGCACCACCTCCTTGTACACAGCGCTCTCTCTGAGCTCCTCATTGCAGCTGCGCACTTTAGAACTGTAATTTAGAGTCTACGTATACAAGTAACATTTCAACATGTCAGGTCAAACTAAGAAAAGCCTTGGCAAACGAAAGCATCTCCTGGGCTGCTAAGGCCTGCTGTCTGCCACCTTGCTCCAGGCGTTTTAGGGCTTTGCCCAGTACAGCTTCAGCTTCTAACAAATGGACGTCTTCCGAGGTCAGTTTCTCGACCTTCAGGGCAGCTGTCCTATTGTCGGCACACGCGTGCTCCACGCCTTCCTTTGTCTCAAGGGATTGACATCACGAAAGGAATGTATTAGACTAGTTGGCAATTAAGGCTGAAACATGCTGAAGGTTTGACTCTAGACGTGTCGACTATAATATATAAGCGGTCCAATGGGAAACTCCAGGCCACTTCTCCCAAGACATAGTAGCGTCCTTACTCCTAGTATTAAGGCCAGGAGCCCCTAGTAGCCTCCTTGCTCCTAGTAGCGATGCCCTTTGTTCCTAGTAGCAAGAATGCTCCTAGGGTTGCCATGTTGCTGCGTTTCACCATGTTTCACCTTCACCCGCCTGAGCCTCTGCGTCCTTGGCGACACTGCTGAGATTCACCAGTCGGGGCAAAGAGTCGCAGGTGTCCAGCTCACCTGGTACTGAAAGCGAAAAGTCCACACTCGAGGTCCACTAGTCATCCAAACCATGCCCACATAGGCCCACCGAGCGGCGTTGAACACCTAATTAGGTTCTCCTTGCATGGAATAGTCCTATTTTGCTTATGCAGCGGCTTCGAGAGTGCTTCTGTGCAGTCTGTGTTCGCCTACGCGGGATCATTTTGTGCTTGCCGGGAGCTTACGCGGAGCTTGCGCGGCGGAGGTTTGCATTGAAACAGGCAAGGGGCATGGCTGGGAAGGCTGGCAGGGATGGAGAATAGTGATACATTGAAATGTCGAAGCTTTGGAATACATTGGAATACTATCCATTGGCAACTTGCTTAATGAACAAATCGAGTTCTGCAAAGCTTACGAATCGGCTTGTGCAAAGCTTCCACGGAATTCCTGACCTAAAACGCTGTCGTTTCGTAATTGCAAGCATCAGCCAGCAACAATTGGTGAAGAATAGACTGAAGACTTAGAAGCATGCACTCTCTGTTCATCTCTGTTGTTTCGCCTGCCGCAAGGATCGAATCCAGCAAAGGGGGGAAAGCTTGCTGGAACGAAATGCACGGTGTTTCCTGTTGCGCTATGGCGCGATGTTCCTGAGGATTAACCAAGCCCTTTACACTGCTGGCAAGCACTTCCAGGCACGATGGCTACTACACGAAACACTCAAGTACATCAAAATACATGCATTTTCGACTCAAAGTACTTAGAGCTTACGCCTCGCCCACTGCCTACGCTTATGGAGGAAGTTCCAAAAGACTTACAGAAGCTCGGCTCCCACTTGTGTGAGAACAAGTTCGAGGACAATCAGGTCATGAACCTTCGCAAGCTCACGTGCAAGCTCATCTGAGCCTGAGCTCTTCATGGAGGTTTCTGTTCAAGTCTCACTGAATCGCACTGTCTCACTCCGTGAGTAGGTCCATGTCCATGTGAATTGTCGACGAGACCAGACGCCGATTCACCCCCATGGCCCCTCCCAACCCTTGGTCGCAAACTGACAAAGACTGGCGCACCTTGCAAAATTGCCTTAAAAAGGGCCACTGAAGCTGCTGCTAAAATGAGGTACGGAGAAAGACCACGGGTCTTGAGCGCGCGGTTCTCCATGAGCAAAATGATTCAAATGAGCTCAAAAGAAAGCTGCTTGCCTAAATCCAAATATGCAAAAACCATGTTGATGTAAGGGTGTGTCTGTGTCTTTGTGGTTGGTGTTGTGAGCTAGTAACTAGTACTGGGGGTGGGGGTGCCAAGCGGCTAAACTGCACATGTCTTTTGGACGATGTAGGTAGTGTTGTGGATGTGCTGCAATACACCTAAGGAAATTCAAACGCATTCTTCTATAATACATACATGCAAGTGTTGAGCCATCACGTTAGGTATGCCGGATGTAGAAAAAGACCCATCCGAGAGATATACCAGAAATATCCAGATATGTGGAAACGTATCTGGTTTCTCTGAATGATGGCAGTTGGTTGCCTTTTCTATCTCGCAGTAGCAACTGCATCTCTGTCCAGGACCTTGATGAACAAAAGCCAAAAATCGACCTAGAAAAATGGTCAGCGCATATCCGCGCCATCTGCGAATGCCCCATGACCCATGACCCTTTTCTACAGCTCATCATGCAAGCCGCTTTAGAACAATTGAATTCCTTGTGCCAGAAGAAGAGCTGATAAGAGCTGTCGTTCCAGAAAGAAGGAGTTGAACACTGAACATTGCAAAATGGAAATCACAAGTGCTCCAACCTCCAGCCACAAGGGCAAGAAAAGCGATTTGTAGTTCATAGCATTAATTCGTATCCATATTATACATACAATTAACGTAAATACACCGCACAATGCACCTTCAATTTGATCCCGGCATCCCAAAGCACCATCTTTTCCTCCCGAAGGTCTGACTACTCAATCCGAGCTGGAGCTGGCGGATTGGTGCGTGAAGATCCCTCACGTCGCCTCCGCAGATGTTCACGGGTGGTGTCCAAATGCTCCTCCAAAAGATCGCAAAGGCTCAACACCGTAAAATCCCAGGGGATTTGAATAAACCCGCTCTCGTGTGCTTTATAGTCGCGCTCTGCTACAACCAGCGGAACAGCTGGAGCGGTACCCCGCATGGCCTTCCAAAGGTTCTCAAGAAGCCAAAAGTCTGAGTCTTTCTCCAAATTCATCCCACAAATACGACGGATGGCCTCTCTGCGATGTTGATCTGACAAATCAGGCGCCATAAAGACCAGGTCTGGATGAAAGCCTCCTTCCAAGACCCGTACGGGATCCCTTTTCTCATCAAACACCTCTTCCTTCTCTGGAATTGAAGGGAACTTCTGTGCAATTTTTGCTTGGACAATTTCATCCAAGCCTGCCAGGCGGCGTTTGCGCTTGGCCGTGTTTTTAATACGAACGTATTGCCGCATCAACTGGCTGGCATACTTGCAGGCAAAGACACGCTTTGCAACATGAAGCCGCACTTCCTCATCATCTGGACCGTGAATGGCGTCTTTAACTAGCTCCTCTTGAGTCTGTTGCCACCAAAGCTTGTCAAATGCCTTCCTTCCTGTGCCGGGCTTTGTGAAGAGCCTGGGAACATCTGGCCTTTGAGAAAATGAGCTCGGAGAAGTCTCCTAAACTTGATTTTCAAAGCAACCACAAGAACATCGGAAAACAACAAAACAGAATAACAAGGAATATTAGACATCATTAGACAGTTAGACATTAGACGGGCGATTGTGCGGAGAAATGGGTGCTCCTACATCCTTCACCAAGGCTCCAAGGCAACCTCTGCTCCTCGAATCAAATGTGCAGCGGCGAACTCCTTTTCAAGGTGGTTGGCAGAGGCCGGCAACGACGGCAATAGCAAGTGGAGGGGCGACACCCGGTTGGGTACCACACGTCCAAGCCGCGTTTGAAGAGCACGGAAAAACGGCAGCTCACGAGCGGATTCAGGACCATCTTCAAACTTTCGCACCTCATCGCTCTCCAAGAGATCAACAAAAGCGTTCAGCTCGGCCAATGAACGTTGATTAATCCGTCGAGCCTCGAGCGGAAACTCTGGGGACAAATCTGGGTGCACTGCACGAATGAAGCTTCCAAGCAAACGCCTGACACCAGAGACGCCTCTCCTCTGTACAGCTGATGGGAGTGCCACGGGCAGGGCATGAAAGGCCATGCTTCTGGAGCAATGTCTGCATAGCGGCCCTGGTACTAATAGCAAAAGGAACCTGATAGCAATGGCCTCCAACTTGTTATCATATCAACCAAAATCCTGACAGAGTGAGTTGGGGAATCGGCCAAGTCCTATGCTAGACTGTGGCACACAAGTCTCATCAGGTCTCTATGGCAACCTCATGGGAACCATGTGCCAACCCACTTTAAAGAACCATTCATCAAGAAATTGTCGCCCATTTCATAACATGTCATCACATGATATTGCTACAAGTCTGCCAAGTCATAACCCTCATGGCGCGCGTAAGCTACCCTTGTGGCGGTTCAAGTACAAGCCCTGCTAAGTCCTCCTAAGCCAAATCAGCTTCGCACGATCCCTTGCGCTACCTTTCAACTATGACCCAACTGTTTGACCTCAGAAGCTTGATGGGTAGCACGTCATGTCAGGTTTAACACCTCAACTGACCAGTGCTCGAGCCGAAGGACGTGCGCCGTGCACGTGTAGCCACTGCTGATGCACTATTTTGCGAGGCACTGTATCATAGTAGTTAACATGCTTGGTGCGCCTACCCAACCACAAAAGATTAGTTAGGCGCAAACAGCGACACGTGTACAGTACATCTCTCGGCCAGGCTAAAGTTGACATGATGTTCAGGACCGTAATGTGGTTGGCTTTACGACCACCTCATGATGAGGCTTTGAGATTGATGAAGTTCTTGCGTGCTTCCAAACTCTATAAGTTTGTTCCGATACCCAGCTCCTCGGATAAATCCACACACTATAGTCGTCCGCGGGTTGATCAGTTGCCTGGTGTTTTGGTGGGCTGTCACCGACAATGTTGTCCAAAACTGCCATCAGTTTCACAATTAGCATCGGCTTTATAGCCATTGCCATTACCTTCACATCATTATCATTATCATCACATTGACCGTGAAATTAAAATCGGGCGGGGGAGGGGCTGAAGGGAAGACTGGGAGCGCCTACCTGCAGTACCGTGGATCTGGACTCTCAGCAAGATGGTCATCACAAGAGTGAATCAGTGCGAATGAATGAGCCTTGTCCGAAGCTCTGCGTGCGGCCTGTTTACCCACGCTCGCACCTTGAGCAGGCAGTAATATCATGAAGTCTTATGAAAATCCGCCGGCCTGCCGGCGTGTTTTGTGGATTGTTTTGGTTAGTATTGCTTGTGTTGGCTTCAATCTACGGTTTGTCTCTCCGCGCGAGATTTTCGACAGCCTGACGCCCCCCCCCCCTGAAATGTAGAGGCCTACTTGTACAGGTTCCACTCCAGTGGCCTATCTAGTGTGTCCATACTTGACTGCCATAAGGCTCAAGAGGATAAGACTCTGCGCATAAAAGACACTAGCGGTCTGCACCTCAACCGTGTACGCCCTAGTCACTCTTTCAGTGGTAGCGGAGCAGTGATCCTGGAAGACCCAGGTGAGCTCCTTTCCTAGGCATAGAATTGCTTGTGGGCAACCGGCCATGGATTGGATTGACGACTGGGAAGAGCCTGATGCGGATGTGGCTTATGAGCCAGCAGCCTATGTGAATAGGCATGTGAGAAGAGAACCAGCAGCGATAGCAATGACAACACAGGTCACTACAAAGGTGCCCCCATCTTATGATGGAAAGACTTCATGGTTTTCCTATGAGGATGCCATAGACGATTGGTGTGATATCACCGAGCTGGAAGATGAGAAGAGAGGACCAGCATTGAGAAATAGATTAGAAGGAGAAGCAGCCGTATACAAGCGAGTATTAGACAGAGATGCATTGAAGGCGAATGATCCACCAGGAGCTGGAGTAGAATACTTCAAACGAGTACTACGACCATATTTCGTGAAAGGATCAACCAATGTATTCCTGTATAGGTTTATGCAATTCGCGCGCTTCAATCGCGGTTCAGCCGACATGATGAAGTGGATGACAAGATTTCAGATTTTACTCCAAAGGCTTATGAGCAGTTGGATGGACATGTTGGACCCAGTAACACAAGTACATCCTCAGGTACAAGCACAGATGCAAGCTGATGCAGCGATGACTGGAGTAGCTCCAACAGCAGAAAGAATTCAGGAAATCATGCAGAATGTGAATGGCAATCTGAGAATTCTTCATCAGAACGATTTTCCTTTAGGAGAGAATCTCATTGCCTTACTCATGCTGTCACTTGCGGATTTGTCTCAGGACCAGAGAGGAACACTTTGACCTCTTTGATGACCCATCGTGGTAGAGTCCTGCAGCAATACACCACAATAGAGTTGAGGACAGTTTTCATTGAGATGTTCTGCACAACAAAGACGTCAGTAGACAATCCTCTGATGCAGCCAACAGGTGCTGGAGGTAGAAGATCATTTCTCGTACTAGACGAAGGAGAACTCGATGGTACATATGGCTATTGGGCCGAAGATGAAGAAGATGGAACAGAAGGATTCCTAGATGCCCTAGACGATGTCTTTTGGGTATATGATGAACAGAATTTCTCTTGATTCCAGAGGAGATTCCAAGGAAGAAGAGCCAGAAAAGGCAAAGGAAAAGGAAGAAGAAAAGGAAAAGGTAAAGGAAGATCAGGCCGCAGATTCTTCAGACCTCGTGGAAAAGGAAAAGGAAAGAGACGAGGTAAGGGCCATTATGCTGATGAGCAATCGACAACTTATCCAGATGAGTATTTTGAAGAGAATCCTTATGAGGACACTTGGGAGTCAAACCAAGTAGCATATGATGCTATTCTTGCCGAAGATATGAATGACTATCTTCAAGGAGAACATGAAGATGCCCAAGACTTTTGGCAACAACTTGAAGAAGCATGGTTTTCCCACAAAGGAAAAGGAAAAGGCAAGAGAAAAGGCAAGAAAGGAAAAGGAAAAGATAAAGGAGATGGCAAACAAGATGCAAACTATGCAAATCAACAACAGCCACGTTCTTTACCGGCACCTTCAAGAACTTCACAAGCATCAGGAAGCAACCAAGGTTTCTTTGCACATTGTGTGACAACAGCAGCTGAAGTCCATGACAGTGAGGTGAACTTGCTGTCAGGCATGATGACCTCATGTCAAGATGAAGCTGACTGTAATGTCAACAATGGTGAGATGATCTTCGATGACATGAGTGCCCCTGTGAGGTACTCTTTGTCAAAGGAGATGCTCACAGATGCTCCTGGATGGCTTTGCGCTTATGAGCGCTGAGGAAGAAGTGAAAGAGATGCAGGCTATTTCATTTTTGACTGAGAATCGCTTCCCGCCAACTATTGCAATCCTGGACATTGGATGCACTAGAGCTATGGGATCAAGGCGTGCAGTCGATTATTTTTGTAACTATGTCGACAATCATCCAGACTGTGGACTATGGTACTCTTTTGAGTCTACCAAGAGCAAGTTTTACTTTGCCAATTCTCAGAAGGCTTCTTGCTCTCAGAAACTGGTGATTTACATGTATGATCGTGCATGGACGATCCACAATACAGAGTTCGACATAGTTGAAGAAGGAGAAGTCCCTTTGCTTATGAGCTTGCCACAGATGAGGAACTTAGGCTTTGAACTCAGGCTGACACCTCAACATGCTTACCTGACATCGGTGCCTCTTGGTATCAAATTTTTGGAGTTGAAGGTTGCAGCCAGTACTCATCTTGTTTTGGACTTCCAAAGATATTGCATGGTATCTGTCTGACGTGCGTTTGCAGGCTCGGCGCGAGAAGAGCTTTTACTCTCACTTCACTCACTATGAATATGGCCATATTTCAGTTGATCACAATAGTGATGAAGATGAAGCTGAGCATGCATATCCTGTGGTTGACTACTGGGAAGTAGATCTTCACAAGAGAGAACTGACACGTCACCACAAGGATTACAGGAAGATTCTTTTCCCAGCAACTAAGTCCTGTCCTGTAGACACTGACTTGCTGGAAGACTTGCGACTGACAATCATCAAGAAGAAAGAAGGAGAAGAGATCAAGAAGATAGATGATTGGCGCAAGGCAAAATGGAAGGACCTACAAATTGGCTATGAATGGCGTGGTAGAACAATTTTTAAGTTCAAGCCAGATGCCAAAATTCCAGATCTAAAGATCAGGAAGGCTGGCATTGAGCACCGTGGCATTGGTGATCCCGATGCAGTGGTGCGCTCCTCCTCACAGAAGGTTCCCATTGCAAGGGACAGGGAACCAGGCTTCTCTTCAGAGAAGGAAGGTGCACCATCCAGTGCCGCGGAAAAGCCCGCGCCGCCGAAGTTTCGGTATACTTCCAAGGGTTTTGATCCATTTTGGAAAGGACACAAGTCGAAACCATCTGAGCCTCCACAGGATTTAAAAGGTGATGATCCTGAGGGTTACACTCCTTCAGAACCACCTGAGAGGCCAGAAGGTGAACTTGTAGAAATTCCTAAAGCATCAAAAGGACCATCAAGTGATAAACGTGAACCACTTGAACCAGGTGATGGCGCTCTTGAGCCTAGGCGGATTTCAATCCCATTACCTGGTAGTGAAGTTGTTGCAATGACACCGGCATATAGGAAGATGTTGCAGAGACTGGAGGACAAGGTAGAGCTTCATAAGCTTCATGTGAAGCACTACCATATGAGTCCTGCTCAGTTTCGTAGACGTGTTTCTATGTTGAAGCTTCCTGACTGTTTTAGAGAAGTATGAATCAGTTGTCAGGAACTGCCGTGTTTGTAACACTTCAGTGGCACCTCCGCCACGAGCCAGAGTCTCCGGTATTAGAGCTTCATGTTTTGGTGATGTTATTTTTGCTGATCATTGTGAGGTTGAACTTCACAAGAACAAGTATATCATTCTACTTGTTCTTGATGGTGCCACAAATCTTCTCTGGGCTACGGCACAGAAAGACCTCATAGATCAAACCACCATCCAAGCATTGAGACAATGGTCTGATGAGAACAATTGTGTTCCGAAGGCCATCGTAGGAGACGAAGCCTTTTTCACAGATGCTTTTGTTGAATACTACAGGTTTCATGGTATACAACAATGTCCTTGTGGACCAAGAACTCCTTGGCCGAACCGAGCAGAGACAGCTGTACGTTTGTTCAACGTATGTGGCATGTTA